CTTTATATGTTATAATCCTCTTAAAAAACAAACACACACACACACACACACACACACACACACACACACACACACACACACACAAATGCATACAGAGTACTTTTCTCCAAATGAAATACAGTTCAATCTGCCATGACAAATATCTTTATAAGACGCCACTTTCCATTTCCACCTTCAAAGTAAAGCCGTAAACTGAAGGGGTATGGGTATAGCTAAGACTACCCTACAAGGAACAGCACAAGGAAAAAGATGGCGAGGCAGACCGAGGAAAAGAAGGGGAGACAACATCAAAGAGTAAATCGACCTCAAACATTGTTTCAGAACAAACAAAAAAAGTTGACCTATTTCTTCCAGTTCCACTATTAGTTTTAGTAAGAGTTTTTCGGCACTTTCAACACAATTAAGGTCATATAAGTCCCGAAGAATAGAGGGGTTACAAGAGAGTAACAATAATAAAAGAGAAGGAGGAGAGATAAAGACGATAGCTGTTTGATAGGAAAGAAGGAGCAAACCCCACCAGAGCACCCGCCAACCACCCATAAATTGACCTCAGCAAATGTTTTTTTCAGGAAAAAAGAGTTGCCCTATTTTTTTTTCCACTTCCACGGATGGGGCAAAACATAATGGGAGATGGGGGTATGTGAGTGAGCACACCCATCTCAAGGACTCACCCTAGTCCATTTGATCAGATCGGCTTGCTCCTTCCACGACCAGTCTGAGCCACCTGCTTTCACACGGGGGGAGAACACGAGTTACTAAATATAGACCCAAAGACGGACGCGCGTGCACACACAAACGTACACACACACACACACACACACACACACACACACACAAACATACACACACACACAAACACACACACACACAAACATATACAAACAAATAAACAAACACACATAAAAAAAACACACACACATACACATACAAACACATACACACATATAACACACACACACACACACACACACACACACACACACACACACACACACAGATAAAAATAAATCAGCCAAAATAATGTTATGCTATGCCTATCAATATAGAACATAAAATATGACTACAACAACTTGAATTTTGGATTTTAGGACTTTATGCCTTATGAGTTTCAGCCTGAAAGGTTCGATAAGATTTAAAGATCAAATCCACTTCTCCAAAGTAAATCAATTGATTAAACAATCAAATAATTAACCATTAAAAAAACAAAATAAGAATAAGATTTGATTCAAGTCTATGCTAAGCCTATCTGGCATTACGAAGCAGTAACTGGGTTTCATATTCATCCACACATTATCTAACCAAAAAGGATGACAAACATTTTTCGCCACTTTAATAAAAAAAAAAAGACAAGAAAATCAAACCACAGATGGAAATATACCCAAATAATGAATAGAGACATGGAAATGAGTAGAAGTTTATTGGTTAGGTGAGCTCTGAAGCATGCTGATGTTATTTGCAGAGAGAGAGAGAGAGAAAGGGGAGAGAGAGAAGCAGAGAGGAATATTGATGCGTCCTGTGTTATGTGGCTAATGTTATGAATACCTTGTACGTACAGAGAGAGAGAGAGAGAGAGAGAGAGAGAGAGAGAGAGAGAGAGAGAGAGAGGGAGAGAGAGAGAGGGAGGGACCTTGTGCATACAGATAGATAGATAGATAGATAGATAGATAGATAGATAGATAGATAGATAGATAGATAGATAGATAGATAGATAGATAGATAGATAGATAGATAGATAGAGAGAGAGAAGAGAGAGACAGAGAGACAGAGAGAGAGAGATACAGCCAGACACACAGGGAGAAAGACACAGAAGGAGAGAGAAACATACAGGGAGATAAATAGATAGAGAGAGAGAGAGAGAGGGGGGGAGAGAAAAAGAGAGAGAAAGAGAGAGAGAAAGAGAGAGAGAAAGAGAGAGAGAGGGGGAGAGAGAGAGGGAGAGAGAAAGAGAGAAAGAAAGGGAGAGAGAGACTGCTTATCAGCTCAGCAGAACACAGGCACAACAAAACACCATACTGTAAAACAAATTCTTTCACAGAGAAGAGCGAGTGGAAGCAGACACACAAACACATAAATATAATATGCTGCATGTTCTGGCAATTCTTCACAGTAGAAGCATACAGAAAAAGATAGCTGAAAACTGGTAGCAAAGAGGCAGGATTTTGAGCAAAGGGTAAATACTGTCAAATGAAAAGACTGGCCATATACATTAGGCAGCGCACTGGCATTGTTTGGGGTTGTGGGGTAGTGAGATGGGCGGGGTTGGGGGAAGGGGGAGTCTTCTTGACAGATAAATACCAATAACATAGACCTGTTTGAAGTGAGTTTGTTTACATGAGAGAGAGAGAGAGAGAGAGAGAGAGAGAGAGAGAGAGAGAGAGAGAGAGAGAGAGAGAGAGAGAGAGAGAGAGAGAGACAGAGATAGACAGAGAGAGAGAGAGAGACAGAGATAGAAACAGAGAGAGACAGAGAGAGAGGGGGGGAGAGAGAGAAAAGATATATATATAGAGAGAGAGAGGGGGAGAGAGAGAGAGAGAGAGAGAGAGAGAGAGAGAGAGAGAGAGAGAGAGACAGACAGACAGACAGACAGACAGACAGACAGACAGACAGACAGACAGACAGACAGACAGACAGACAGACAGACCCAAAACACTAGGATGAAGACAAAAAGAAATGACAAAAGAACACGTTTTCAATGAAAGGAAACAAAACAAGGTTGCCCCTGGTGCTGTGGCATAAAAGAAACAGTTCACAGGATGCTCAAACTACAACAAAAAGTGTGCCATACGAGGGAAATAACAAAACTCAAACTTGACTTTTTTAAATAAGAAGAATAAGAGGAAAAAGCAATGATGGGTAGACAGAAAAAGTACACCCCCCCAAAAATATGGGAATATTGAAAGTCAAATTTGTTGGGTTTTTTTTTAACGTGATGAACGAGCAATGATGGGTGAAAATAAAAAGTATCAAAACAAAAATTGTGGGTTTTTAAAAAATCACACAGAGTAAACCAACAAGAGCGAAACCCTTCACCTCTCTTCGTGTGTTCCCGGTTTTTCATGTTTTGCAGTTTGACGTTCTCAATCATTTTCACCGTGCCCCTAATGGAGCCATCCTCGGTTCTGAGCATTTCATACCTGAGCAAAAAGGTAACAGGACTCGTAGAAATAGACGTACATTTCATACCTGAGCAAAAACGTAACGTGACTCGTAAAAACAGATGAACAATATGCCACACTTACACAGATAGGTAAATCTACACCTGTGGAAAAATTGCAACAAGGACGGTCGAAACACTGAAATATTATTCCACGGGCCGAAAGATGCTTAAGTCAACACCTGAGACAGCTTAACAGGGAAAAAAAGGTGCAATAGTTGTCAAAGCAAGAAATAATGGACAGTTTGTTAAAACAACATTTACATGCAAAAGTGAGAAAGACTGTTTCTTGTGTTTGGTTCTCATTTTGAGAAACAGTTTTCATAGAACAAAAAAAAGAAGAAGATAAAGGGCGTGGGGGCTGGGACGGGGGTGGGGAAG